CATCCCATTTTTTGTTTTCTTTGATCAGAATAAAGTTTACTGGCATGAATAAACACAGGATGGTCGGTTAAAATGAAACAAATCAGGACAAAAACAAAAGAAAAGAAATTTAAGCATTTTCTGTTTCAAATCTTTACTCCTCTTGATTTACCCGTGGTAAAATCATTCATGTCATATGACTTGTTACCCCGAGTATACCTCGACCACCCCAAGTTATCGAGAAGATTTCTTTCTTTCTTAAGAATTGTTTACATGTAAGTTGCATTACAGGCCCTCACTGACAGAAACTAATGTGACTAATGTGTCTTAAGTTCCTTACAAAAAAAGTCTGCATTATGTGTCTGGGGTATACCTTTATCGCCATAAAAGCTTGCATTATTTAACTTGATGATGAAACATATACCAGCCCTTCATGTAGACTTTTTCAGTGAGAGAAGAAAGATTAGTTTAGCTTTAACATTCATTCCTTCAGTAAGAAAACTGAAAGAAACCAGATGTGAAAGATGAATCTTTGTAAATCTCACCATCATCATAGCAGAAGAAAGATTTTCTGGTGTTACAATCATCAGCTTTCCATTTTCCTTCTTTGTTTAATTCATCATCGCACATTTCCTGGTGCCGCTGTCAGTTTTATTCATCTCTTCAGGTAACTTATCAACACGTTCCCAGTGTCTGTAGAATAATTACTCCCATCTGACCACCTCCAGGTGTCTCTGAACAGGCCGATCTATGATTATGTTTTATCAGAACTTTTAAATTTACTGACTGCTTTATTTAACCGTTCTGCTCCACTGGCCAGGTCTGTGTGGTGCTCTCTGCAGTAGCTCTGAGCCTCACTCCACTTTTTTTCATTGTCAATGAAATGTAGTGATTTGTTTCCATTTTAGATAGATAGATAGATCGACCATCTGTCTCACCTCCTCTCCTCGCATGCCTGGTGTCTAATAAGCTAAAGGAGTATTACATGGTGGCAAAAGTCCTCTTCAGCTACTACAACTAGTCTGCTATGCTACAGCATTAGATCCTCTGAAACACAAAAATGTTCTCATTTCAGCCGTGTGGCCTTTGTCACGCCATGAACCAATCTATGATTGGTTTAAAGGAATCACATGGTCTCTCACTAATCTCATATCCATCATCTTAATGAGAAAAATTATGAATCTTAAAACAGAGTAGTGTGCTGAGGGTGTCAGTTTTATCATAAACATTCTGTATTTTCATGTATATCATACAAGCTTGTTCACAAAAACTGTTTTCAGGCAAAATCCTCATTCACACCAGAGGGTGTCATTGTGCTCAACACTGAAGTCGCACACGTCTCTCTCTGAGAAAACGCCTTAGATAGATTTCCCCTAAGAGTGGGAAGTCTAATGCTCAATACCAGTAAAATGTAGGGTGGGAGGAGAGCTGTGTTTAGCCTCATAATAGTGTTTGGCTATCTAATTCTTCTTGTTTGTTTAAGTGCTCTCTATGTGTATACAAGCTTGACCACCGGTGTATTTGAGCACACAGATAACTGATCTTGTTTTGCAGTTTGTGAACTGTTTAACAGGAGGCATCTTTCCACTGTGTGGATGATTAAAAAACATCTGAAGCATCATTCAGTTTATTTGGCTCAACAATATTGACAAGATGATCCCTAACTGTCTGAGCTCCTTAAAATAATAAGACAGGAAGTTGCTCCGGTATCAGCACTCAGCAATGCTTCAGCCTCTAGAGTGTGCCAGTGTCTGCAATTCATATTGTTAAGCTGCTGATAACAGTGGTTGAGTTTTTCCAGTTGGAGTTCAGATCTGGACGATATTAAAGCTTGTAGGCTCTCCCAGTTATGGAAGGATGGTACTTTCTTTCATTAAATCTTGATCTCACTACTTTTGCTCTGTTTTAAATCCAAGTATGATAAACAAGAATTGTTTTAAGCTGTGAATCATGCAAAGCTACTTTAGTAGAGTCCAAGAATAAGAAAATATGAAACAGGAAATTAACAGAAGAGGTCCAATTTAAATAAAAAAAATCTCTCTAAAACCAGTGTATCAGTAACTTATGACGAGAGGAAGCGAAGCAGTATTGCTACATCCAATAAATGCCCAGTTAAACTGGAGTTCTTTGTCTGTCAGCATTAAATCCGAGCAAATTTGTTGATTTGAGACATCAAACCAGTCAATATATTTACACTCACTCAGTATTTCCGATTGCTCACCACAGTATCCAGACCGCTGAGCCACAGATTCCTGCACAACAAGAAAGAGCAGGTAAGTTTTGTGGCAGGTAATAAAAGGAGCCGTGATTTCACTCACTGCAGTAATGCAGTAACTCAGCACTGACTGAAGCGCCGCCGCTCAATTAAGTAGTGGCTCTTAACAAGGTGATCACAGACATTTGTGTGATAAAAAGCTCTCATAATGAAGTTTATTTCCTGGGGAAGACAGTTAAAAGCACAAATAATGTTGAAAGTTTTCCATGGCTTTATTAAAATTTTGTTTATATCTGTGTAAATGATTGTATGAATATTTTCATAAATCCTTCAGGGATCCCAGCCCGAGCTTAAAGCCACTCTGCCTCAGTAATTACAGTGGCTTGCAAGAGTATTCAACCCCCTTGAACTTTTCCACACTTTATCACATCACAGCCACAAACATGAATCAGTTTTATTGGAATTCCACGTGAAAGACCAACACAAAGTGGTGTACACGTGAGAAGTGGAACCAAAGTCAAACATGATTCCAAACATTTTTTTTACAAATAAATAACTGAAAAGTGGGGTGTGCGTAATTATTCA